CAAACCCAGGTAATCCTGCCCAGCTCAGAGGCAGAAACACAACAGAAATGTCACCTCTTCAGCACAGGAAGCTGCAGCAGGGGTGGTGTCTCACCTGAGGAACTCCTGCTCAACTCATGCAATCACATTTTAACAGGATCAGTGAGGTTGGAAGGGACCACAATGGTCATCTGGTCCCATCTCCCTACTCCAGCAGGGCCACCCTAGAGCACATGGCTCAGGGTTGTGTCCAGATGGTCCCTGAACACCTCCAGTGAGGCAGAATCCACAACCTCTCTGGGCAATCTGTTCAGTGACTGCACAGGAAAGAAGTTCTTCCTCATGTTCAGGTGGAACTTCTGGGCATCAGTTTTTGCTCAGTGGGGGAAAGCAATCGAACAAGAGGGAACAGCAGACTCTGATCATCCTCTTGGCATTTCCCATTCATGGACTTGAATCCATTACTGAGGTCCCTCTCAGTTGTCTCTTCTCGAGGCTGAACAGTCCCAACTCACTCAGCCTTTCCTCATCACTGAGGTGCTCCAGTCCCTTCAGCATCTTCCTTGCCCTCCCCTGGACCTGACCCATGGGATAGCAGCCTGTGGATGTACCTGTAGTGCAACACTGTCCTATTTTTGAAAGACAACACTGCAGTCAAACTGAACATTTCTGACTGTTCAGATCCAGCAATGGTTGAAAATCGAACTTAACCTTGAAAGAGGACAGTGCTCCACGAACTCTAACTGGTGAGAAAGGCTGCAATACAATGTCAGATGCTTTTGTACATCAAAGTGAAAACTGGTTTGGATGCACAACTCCCCAGTTGGTGCATTCACAGCTTGGCTGGCATGTCAAGCCTGTTACAAGGACATGGAAAGGCAAATAGGTCCTTTGTCATCAGTTTGTTGCAAGTTAAGGTAACTTTAGCCAACACCATCTGCATTGAGCAGCCTGAGAGAAGAGACCAGTGTATGGAAACCACAAACTTTGAAGGGTAATTTCTCCTTCAGCTTCTAGAGCGGATTTTGAAGGAAATTAAGTTACTACTTGAGCCAACCCCTCCCTGCCCAGCCTCACACCAGGGGGTTCCTGGTCTGCACGGGGTGGAGATGAGCCTTGTCCACTTGATTTACTCTGCTGCTTCTCCTCCTGCACATGGACTTGGACATGTTTAGCCTAGAAAAGAGGCTCAGGGGTGACCTCCTGGCTCTCTGCAACTCCCTGCCAGGGTTGGAGAGAGATGGGGGATGTGTGTCCTGCCATGGCTGCAGGGAGAGGACTAGAGGGAATGGCCTTGAGCTGAGCCAGGGCAGAGTCAGATTGGATGTGAGGAGAAATGTTTTCCCTGTGAGGGTGTTGAGGCACTGGGATATTGCCCAGGGAGGTGGTGGAGTCACCATCCCTGGAGGTGTTGAAGAGGTGTCTGGATGTGGCACTGGAGGATCTTGTTTAGGGTGTAGAGGTTCCAGCAGTGACAGGTTAATGGTTGGACTTGATGATCTTAGAGGTCTCGTCCAACCTTGATGATTCTATGAAGGGCCAAAGTGCCTTACAAAGTGACTAACAGTCCCACAAATAGGGTCACTGCCTCCTACCTTTATGTGGATCCCAAAGGCAGCAAGGTCTCTCCGCAGATTGTCACAAGCCTCCAGGAGGGGTTTCCTCTCCCTCATTAACTGCTGCCTCTTTTCCTTCTGCTCCTGCTTGGGCTCTTCAGCTCCTGCAGCACCTTCCACGGGCACAGAGTGTGCCGCGTCGGGCAGAGCCAGCGCGAACTGCCGCACCTTGGCGCGGAACTGCACCAGCTCCTCCAGCACGTTGGAGAGCACTGCAGAGCTGTCTCCTCCCACAGCCACCTGGAAAACACAGAGTCCTTCAGAAACCCCTGAGAACCACTTAAAACAGCCACCCCAACAGCACACACTGAGGCCTCATCCCTCTCTTGGTTGTGCATCTTCCACAGATTGGTAGGATTCATGTCATCAGTGCTGGACAAAACGTTACAGTGGAGTCACACCTGGGAGTAGTTCAGTGCATTCTTGCACAGGGAAGCGTCTATCCCAGGACAGAGACCTCTCACATGAGCATAACATGCTGCAGAACCAGGCTGAGGAACTCACTGCCACAGGGAACCTCTGAGCTGCCAGAAGTGTGCACAGCTGCAAAAGGGATGAGACAAATGAATGGAAGGAAGGCCTGGCAAGAGCCATCTCTGCTCTGCTCTCCTGGGACCCACCTGGAATACTGCACACAGTTCTGGTGTCCTCAATGTAAGAAGGACATGGAACTGTTGGAGCAAGTCCAGAGGAGGCCACCAAGTTGCTAAGAGCACTGGAGCATCTCCCCTATGGGGACAGGCTGAGGGAGTTGGGGCTGTTCAGCCTGGAGAAGAGAAGGTTGTGTGGAGACCTCAGAGCACCTTCCAGGAGCTGAAGGGGCTCCAGGGAAGCTGCAGAGGGACTCTGTGTTAGGAGCTGCGGGGACAGGACAAGGGGCAATGGGCACAAATTGAAGGAGGGAAATTTAGG